CCCAACCATTACTCCATTCACACACAGAAGAAGGCAATGGCAAACCACTTCTGGATCATCTGCCAAGAACGTATATGAACAGGTCCCAGTCCGAGAAAAGGATGAAAGGATCCTGTTCATATGGACCTGTCGTCAGACAGAACACTAAATAAATAAATAATTAACAGGTTACGAACAATGAACCCTCAAACAAGCTGACGAAGAAGTTAATAAATAGTAGTAAAATGATTATAAAAACTTTACTGACGTCCTGCTACCAAGCTTTGGGACAAAATTACGTGCGAATCATAAGTATTTACGTTCGTCAGTAAATTAGTGTTTCAATTTTTAGCCAAAATTCCATATTTCTGGAAGCATTTGCAGACACGTAATAGACTTACAATGGAATATGAGGCTTTCCTAACTCCAACTAACATATTACATTAATAAAGCTACGCTTCGAGTTACCATGGTTATTGAAATAACAAGATCTTGGCTGTAGGCGGATGCTGCTGAGGTGAGTGACGAACACCGACACGTTCAGCTCACCTTATTACGTCATTAGTTAGAATACAGGCAGAGCGCAGTGCGGCAAATTACAGAACGTCAAATCCGTACAGAATCTAGTTCAACCCTCTCAGAAATGTCTTATAATACTTAATTACTTAACGCAAGTGGGATTTGTAGTGACAAAGAGAGGTAAGTTAGACAACATTTAGCTGTGGATTTCTTCGGTAGTTCGCTGTGGATTGTTCGATCACGAAACTGTCGCAGGTGACTTACGCCGATTACACGTTAAGGCTACCAAGTTTCATTTCCACCAATGTTGTAATTACGAAAAATTAATAATAATCTCTCGTCACGGAAGCGAGATTGTGAAATTTGACTATGCATTTATAAAGTAAGTAAATCGGACGATTTGTTAGCATTACAGTTTCCTATTCCGAATGTCCTGGCTTCAAATCTCGGCCCGCAGACCGGTCTTCACATGTTTCTCGTGGTTTTATCAGACGGTACTTTAAATCAGGCCACGAACACTTCCTCGCGGATCCTTACCGGCACATCATTCATTAATCATATTCACATTAGATGATAAAAACCTTGAATTACCGGCAGTGTCTTTAAAAAAAGACTATAAATAAATAAATTGCACGAGATATAAAATACCAACAGCGAATCACTTTCACAGTTGTCTATGACGTAAGATAACAAACCTGTAGATTTAACATTTGCTCACAAAATAGAATTAACTTCCAGCCTAGAAACGATAGGAGAGGCCACGAGCATCAGTTGTACCACACCGGAATGTCTCTTAAGACGTACGTCAGACGTCGGATAATTTCATATCGCAAATCCGAACAGAATGTCTCTGATGCATGATGCATCAAGAAACTGAACGCTTGTAACTCGAAGTCAGGAATAAATTTCCCGGGCACCTAAATATCAAAAGGCAGTATCTAAATTACCACGTGTGGTGTTATACAGTGAAAAATACATTACAGGAGTATTTTACGCACTCCGGAGAACGTTTTATCTCGATTTGTCTCAGACCCAGGGGGAGTTGAAAAGGAATCTGAGCGTTCAACAGATGCTGGGACCATTATTTAATGTAGAGACTACTGTAAAATAAGAATATTAAATTTCTTGAATAACTTTATACAGAAAAAAAAACCCAGTAAATTTTAGGGGGAAAAATAAGAAATATTATCACATGAACTGTACCCTTGGTTGAGGAAACAATGCAATTTTGCTTTAAAATTTTGTATTTATTATTCATGAATAATTTAAATGTTAAATTTCCCATTCACTCTCTAGCTCGAGTGTAACTTCCGAACTGTGTCAGAAAGTTTTGTTTTGAAGCTTGGCGTAATTTCAGTCCTTACTTATCAATGGTCAAAACTGCAGCTGACAGATAAAAAGTTTATAGTTGCTACGCGCTGTTACGAAACCAAAAGTTCACTGCAGTTCTCATAGAAGCTCACCAATGGAGTGTGTCACGAGCCACACTTTAACAACTTCGCAAAATAAGAATTGAACTGGAAAACTGAAAGTCGATGTCATACAACAGGGTACTTACCCTTCTCGAGGGTAGTGGCGATCAGGACGGGAGGCAGAAGCACTAGGATGAGGACAACGCGGTGCCCCAGTGGCCCGCGTTCCCTCATGGCTCGAGAGGCTGCTACAGCTCTGAAAAAAGACAAATAATAATTAAATTCAATGACATTAAACAGTAATTCTAACTCCCATATACGCTGTTAAGAGACATTAATCTCGTAGACAATTCCTTGTTTTTATGATCGCAACATTTCATCGCCGTGTCGATAAGAGCCAGGATGTCAATCTCACTTAAATCTATACCACACTTAGCATGTAGTATTCTTGTAACATGCATTTGATATTATCCTGTGACACATACTGGATAAATAATATACATTAATATTAATTTTGACCGTAGTATCTGATAATAAACGTCTGTTACAGCAGCGGTATTCAACCTGGGGTACGCGAAGACATCTTAGGGGGTACGTGAAATTTAAAAAAAATATATTATTTTATGATAAACACTGGCAAGCTTAAATTGCAGTTTGATGTGAATGCATCTACTGGTGAATTATACAAGCTTAAATGTATACCCGATAAAGTTTTTAAAACATTTAAATTTATCTAAAATTAGTTTGATTTTATAAGCTTCGGAATATAGAATAATATTTATCAGTTATAATAACTTTAATCTTTAATGGAATCTCATGGCCTTTTGACAGAAAAAATAAATGTTATTATTAGTTTACGATACCATGAACTATACATATTTTCCATCACCATTAACCATCTGACTGCGGTGTAAAAAGAATGACAAAAGAAACAAACCTCAGGCTTTGTTCATGCTGAGGTTTGAGTACGGACTGGCGGAACTTTGGGTAACTATGACAACAGCAAGGGGCGGACTTCCGGTTCAGTTCCAAAGTTATAAATTATCAAGCGAGAGGAAACGCGGAACCAAGCACAATAATTCACTGCCACGGGTCGTATGTTTGAATTTAAAAGGAAGATGACAACGCACGAAACGCCTAAAATAGCTGTGCTTATAAAATGTTGCGACCATCAAACGCGCTCGCCAGTATCTGACGGTCACCGACTATAAAACAACGCGTTATATGAAGTAGACCAAAATAACAGCACGCGGTGTCAACTGTCTGTGTTATACGCTGCGCTCCCAGAGGCCCGCAGAATTCTCAACAACGGCGCTACGTGGCAAAGTGTTCTATTTTACAATGGACAGCGTACAGAAGCACTTTTAGCAATCGGGTGACGAAAATATTGGAACTGCAGGAATGGCGAGGAGATAAGGTACAAAGGAGGGAAACGGATGAAGGAAACAAAAAGAGAGAAACATATAAAGACGCGAGAAAAATAATCCCTATTGAATTTAAATGTATACATATAAAGATGAGAACAAAATAATCCCTATTGAATTTAAATGTAGTTTTCCGCTGGTGTGTAGTGAACGTACCCAAAATTTGTCGACATGTCCCAATTCTGGTTAAAATCATACGATAATAACGAACAATTTACACGCGCGCTTGTGACTGGATGGGGAATCCCCGAATGGGGATTCCCCGGCTACTCACGTAGTTCAAAACTAAAATTCTATCTACCGCGTGAGAACTGCTGCGTCACACGAATATTTTTATAACTTATTTTTTTGTTTTAACTATGACCAGATTAATTACATTGTGCCCTGATTTATCTATGGTATAAACCAGTGGTAGTCAACCTGGGGTACGCGTACCCCCGGGGGTATGTGAAATTTAAAAAATATATATTATTTTATGATAAACACTGAATGGTTAGTAATGTAATTTATTTAATTTATTTTAGATGTGGATTATATACTACGTATAACTTGAATTACACACCAACAACTTTGGGGGTAAAAAGTTGAAGAGAAATTATATCTGGGGGTACGCGAACAAAAAAGGTAGAATACCACTGTTATAGATACGTGCTTGTTAAATAATCTAAGTAACAAATAATTACAATAAGATAGAGAAGATTGCTGTCTGCTGGGATTTTTTTTGTCGTCTAGTCTGACAGAAGTTTGCTGACGTTTCAGATACACCACACTACACAGAAGACAGGCATCTTCAGCAACAAATTAGTGTCTGCAATACGTAATCACTGAGGGTAATAAGGCATAGGATCTCAAAGATGGCATTCGGAAAATGTACGCATCTCTAATTAGAGAGAAAATTTACACAACTGTTTGTGTTGGTGAACAACTCGCGAAAGTCTGAGACCGCGTGCTACTTGTGGTCTGAAGTGCGTAAAAGAGATTCACGTGTTCCACACGAAATAATCCGTACGTCTCACATAAACACGTACGGATAATAAAATATAAATGTTTGTAAATGAAATGCGTAATCACTTTGGCCACAAGAGACGCCAATGAGCTTTCTCAACTGCATCGCTTTTAAAGTAGTCGGCTTTTTGCGTTTCTGTGATGAACTGCCTGCTTTGTGTCAATCGGTAGCAAGCAGACCGAATACCGCGTGCTGCAGTTTGATGGCGTTTGTAAACTTTTCATAAAAGACAAAAATAAATTTAAAAAAAATAAATAAAAGTTGTCAGTGGAACCACGGATCCGGAGAATTTGACGTAAATACGTCTATACGGAAAGGAAGTTTATATATTGGCTTTATTCTAAATATTTCCTTTATACATGCTTTACAATTGAGTAAAGTTTGATTAAGACTTTGATTATTTAACTTGAATTAGTTACGCTTAAGATGGGTCTGTGGTAGCTGAATGTAATGTAAAGTAATGTAATGTTGAAGTTACACTTTTTCGTTTCCCTTTTTCGTAACACTTTTTCGCCGAAGGACCCTTCCTCATAGACGTATTTACGTCAAAACAACCGAGAATTCAGTTTCGAGCGAATATGTGTTGTTTGTGGAATGTTGAAATCAAAAAAGGTTTATCTTTCCTAACAGGAACATACGTAAACTACAAAATACGGTAGATTTATTCGGCTTGTCTTTGAACGGAGTGTACGAAGCGAAAACACGAGTGGAGGTTGTAACGTCTGTCTGTCCGTCCGTCCGCCATCATGCATAGCCTCGTTAAACTTACTAAGAACTGAAAGGCGTATTTACTAAATTATTGACCTGTGTAGAAAACTTTACTGAACTTGTGAGATGACAAATTTAAGAAATACGTCGTGGGGCCTCGTGATTACTAACTGCAAATACGGACGGGATCAAACCGTGAGTTTCGCCTAAATATCCGAATACTATTCGATATTACCGACATAACAACTGAGACAACTGCTTTGACGAGCCAATTCGATTAGTTGCTATGAATTAAGAGTTCAATGTAGATTAACGAGGGAATTGAAATCAGTATGTTGAATAGAGTATGACTGTACGAATAATTCAAAAAATAAACACAAAATTAATGTTCGAATTAAATATAACTTAAAGTAATCCTGAATGACAAATGAATAATTATTTCGTGTGTGTCCTGTGACATATCTAAACCCACCAAAGTTAAAAAAGGTAATAAATAATGACTTGTATGTCACAGGAAATCGTGATTTGAACAATCACTAGCAACAAACTATGTTCCTAATGATTAATCAAGCAATTCGAAATTTTAATATTTATGTGTAGGTATATAAATTTTGCACACGAAATAATGGCTGCTTCGTAATCCGAACGAAAACACGCGTCGCTGTGTCCGAGATGGATATCAGTATGTGATCTATGATTTTATGTGAATGAAGACGTTACAGCATGATTCAGATTGTTATTTGTAAACTAATACACGATTATAGCATAATACATATCTGAGACCCCGCCCTCACCTGCTAATGACTTCTAGAGTAGTTAACCCTTTAAAGTCGAAGCTCGTCTAAATAACATTTAATAATCCAGTCCGTACCGCGTAGTAAACACTACACTTCACCATTATAAAGACCGGCTGGTTAACGCTGTTTAAGGAAATAATCGATTTATAGAGAGATTCACACGAAACGCAGGACTAAAAATACAGAGTTCTTGATTGTATATCAGGTGGTATATATAGTTACCACCGAGCTTTAAAGGATTAATGTGGTGTCCCGAATTTTTTCATGGACTGATCAAGTCAAGGATGAGATGGGCTGGGCATGTAACGCGCATACGTGAGAGAAGAAATTATTACGAGTAGGTGCAGAGAATATGATAATATTAAAACGGATATTACATAAACCATTAAGTTATTACTTTATATATTTTACAGTGAAAAACAGCTGGTCGGGAAACTAACTGATTTTGTGGGACTAGAAATTTCAGTAACGTAAAGAAAGTGATTTAAGTTCTTATGGAAATAAATACGTCGCTTGTGGTTTTCTGATGTTAATGAATTAAACGAGCTTCATAACCGGTTTTACTTACGCTATAGGAAAATACGGTTTTATGACACTTTCATGAAAGTGTGAGCGTAAATCTCTTCTATCCCACTAACTTCTGAACCAAATGGCGAATTTTCAAAAACATAACGCCAGTAACTACGCCATAACCGTGCTTTTAATTTCTTAACCATTAATAAAATTAACATGGTTTAGTAATTAAGTGAATTTATGAAACGGGTACTGAGATTTGGGTTTCTCACGTCGGCGAGTCTGAAGAAGGCTGTCTCCTGGGTTATGTGCCGTGTAGTCTGGTAGACGTTTATCGATTTTCCAGAGGTCCTTGCTGCCTCTATTATCAGGGAGGATCAACATGGAGGCAATAAAAAGTTAATATTTAATTTCTGGTTAACGGTAATGAGTGATGAACCATTGGAGCTTGTCTAAAGAGACAATACATTCACGGTTTTGGACGCTGCTGTTCAAAATATGGCGAGGGTGTTGGAATTAAAATTTATATGTCTGACAAATGTAACAAAGCCAGGATCTGTAATGTTTGCGTAGGATGACAAAAGAAGCTACAGGCTTAATAATGAAGGTTCATAAAACGTACAAATGAAATATCAGAGTGACAATTTCAGCTAACATGTGACATCGCCTCATACTGATGTTAAAACCACAATTCAATCACAAAGCAGACAAAAGCTTTCTTTGTGGGAAATTAAATCCAATCGCACGAAAATATTCAATTTGTTGTTTTTTTTAAGTTGCGTTAATGTAACAAGTTGCTTAAAAGGGA